GGTGGGGAGAATGAGGTCTCACCTGGCCAGCAGACCCACTGCATAGTGGTGGGTGTCGGCACAGAGCAGCGTGTCCCAGGCACACCTGCGTTCCACTGCCATCAGTAAATCCAGACAACGCAGGTGGTGCAGCAGTGCCTTCACAGTGTTCACTACAAATCTGTATGCAGAGCAAAGGCCCAGATCATGCTGGGACCCCAGGCTGCAGCCCAGGGGATGTGGGAGTGACCGGAGGACTGGGAAGCGGCACCTGTTGATATTGGCGGGAAGGCAATTTTCCTCCTGACATCTTTTCCATAAAGCATTTATGTCCTCTGATACCTGCTCTGTACTGAGGTAAACTTGGAAGAGCAGAGCCACAAAGAGATTGGGGAAATATTCCACAAATGGCTCTGGGCACCAGGGCAGGCGGAGAATCTCCCAAAGCACCCTGGTTGCCTGCAAAGGATAAACCATTTAGAGACAGCACTCAGTGCCAAGTGGCAAGACCTGAGCATAAGAGGGAGAGGCCAGGGGAGACATGGGGAGCATCTGGCTAGTGCCCCTGAACCTGCCCCTAAGCCAGGCATCAGCCCAGGGCCTGAGGCAGGGAGAGGCATTGCAGTGGGGGAGAGGATGGAGAGGCACTGGAGAAGCAACCTGTGTGCAAGCAAAGGCCAGTTACAGAAACTCACAGCCAGGGAAAACACATCCTCAGTGTCCCCATCAGAGGTGTACATTTTCTGCAGTGGCCAGCCCTCCATCACACAAAGCAGTGTTGGCAGCACCTTTTTCAGTGTTGTTCCTGATGAGGCTATGTTCTTCCACATGATTGCAGCACCTCTGCAGGAGCAGAGCTGTGTGTCAGGAGGGTCTCAGCCAGAGCACTGTGGCCTGGGCAGCCACAAGGGCCCAGATGACAGAGCCACAGTGCCCTGAGGGGTAGGAAGGGAGCATGTCAGGAGGCTTATGGGCTGACAAGCCAGGGCTGGCACATGGAGTGTCCAGTGGCTTCTGGAACTCTCTGCCTGTCCAGCAGACCCCATTGGACTGGCGGTACAGGGTGATGGGGCCTGGCTAGACCTGAGCCCTCGAGGCAGGTGGGCCCTGTACCTGTCACACGATGGGGCACAGCGCAGGAGGGTCACTGCAACATCGGTGGGGTGTGCCTCAGTCAGCCTCAGGATGTCCATGAGCAGCCACTCGTCTGGAGGCCCATTGGACACAAGCCTCTGGTGCATGTTCCTAACAAAGCCTGGCACCTGCAGAAGGCGTGGGGAGACTCGAAGAGCTGCCACAGCAGCAGCTTCCCCTGAGCAGTGCTGCCCTTCCCACCACATTGGGCTGGGCCTCAAAGGCTGAGAAGGCCCAGTGGAACTGGCTTGAGCACCACCCAATTCCTGGGGACACCCAGCCCTAGCCACAAGCTGCTTACTTGGCTTGGACTGGAGACGACTCTGTCCCCAAAAAGATCCAGGCTGGGAGCAGGAGATATGCTCTGAGTGGCTGTGGGGCCCGGCTCTGCTGCAGCCTTGGGAAACACGCTGATCCTCTCTCGGCACCACGTGCCTCTGAGATCCATAAACATCTGCAAAAGAAGGAACAATAGGGAAGAGAGGGATGAACCACTGGGTGCTCCAACGGTGATGCTCAGCCGGCAAGGTGGGGATGGCTCTCAGTACCTGGCGTACAGAGTGCCACCAGCTATGGGTAGAGTCCGTGCCTTGTGTCTGGTCCCTCCCTGCATCTGGCAAAGAGAAAGGAATGCCAGAGCTGAAGAGCTGCAGGAGAGGCCAGAGAACACAGCCCAGCCCTGTGGTCCCCAGGCAAGGACAGCCCTGGGATGCCCCAGGCTACCAGGGAGTCCTGCCCCAGCCCCTCTTCTGTCCTTTCCATGGGCATGTGGGATGGGATGGGATGGGATGGGATGGGATGGGATGGGATGGGATGGGATGGGATGGAGCAGGGCAAAGCTGGCTGCAGGCACCAGCCGTGTGGCCCAGCTCTGGCACTCACCCTTCTCCAGCAGCTGGAACTGTGGCAAGTCATTATGCTGCTGTGGTGGGGCAGCACTAGGGCATTTTTCCACCTTCTTGGGTAGGCTATGAGGTGCCTCTGCCATGTCAGTGTCTGGATTTATGGCTAGTTGCAGGAAAGGCACCTTGAAAAGGCCACAGGCCAGCAGCTGCTGCAGCCGTGCCTTGAAGGCACCTACAACAGAGAAGGCTGGGGAAGGCTACAGAACAGTGAGTCCTGCAGTCTCTCCTCAAGGCCTCCTACCACAGTGACAGGGGACATTTTTTAAAGGCTCTGGGTCAGCACGTCCCACAAACTGTCCTTGAGGGCATCTGCAAAAGAGAAACCTTGGAAATGCTCTGGATTGCCAAGTCCCACAGTCTGGCCTCAAGGTCACCTGCACAGAAAACTTCTTGAAAAAGCTCCAGGTCAGCAAGAAAGGAGTCGGCTGTGTGGGGGCTCCTCACAGCACTGCCCTGTCCCGTCCTGTCCCGTTGTGCGCTCCGAGCACTGTGGCGTGGCCGTGTCACCGCCAGCACCTATGTCAGGACGTGTCACAAAGGGTCCTAGGACACACCTCCACGTGTCATGGGGACACGCCCACCCCACCCAAACTGCCCCAGCTTGCAAGGAACACCTTCCCCCAAGTGGTGAAGACCCCACCCAAGTGGTGAAGTTCTGACACTTTAGGAAAGGCCCAAACAACAAGCAGCTGCTCCTCTGCTCTGCCTGCTCAGGGCCACAGGAGCCCCCACGGCTGCCAACAGAACCGAAACAGGAAAGGCACCTGGAGCTTGTCCAGAAGCTGCCACGGCCTCTTTGGAACCAGTTCCAGTGCTGGGTGGCCCTCATACATGCCAGGGGTGTGACGCAGACACGGGACGTGTGGCCCAGAGCACAAATGCTGCTCTGACTCCTGGCAAGCGCTGACATGAGCAGGTGTGGCAGAGTCCCTGCCAAAGGAGACCAGCCACCCCCCAAGCCCTGCCAATGCTGGTGCCTGTCTCCTGCCACAGAGACCTGGCCCTGGGGGACTTCTGTGCCAGAGGACATCCAAAGCCAACATGCCTTGGTGTCTGTGTGATCCTTTCTGCAGGAGGCTGCAGGCAGGAGCACCTGGAGCAGCACTTGGTAGCCACACTTGGTGTCTGTCAGAAGCTGTTGCTCTTACCTAGAATTATTTTTGCTTGGAAGTGATAATCTGCAGCACAAAACCACCATCCACTGTTGACTTCCAGAGGACAAGTACAGAAATACTGTCAAGTTTCCTTGTGTCCTTCTGTTTTTCTTGCTTTCTGGGAAAAAACATCAGCCCAGCACCTGATGCCCAGTGCTCCGTTTGCTGCCTGTCAGGCTGTGGCCAGCAGCTCATGACCAAAGACCACCGGGTGCTGCCTTCTGGGCAAGGGAGTGGACAGGCACAAGCAGAGAATTTCCCTGGTGAAGCTGGGAGGAACCTGGGGAAGTGCAGAAGACTGGGATAATGCTGGCATGAGAGAAGCCATTTTGTGTCTCTGATGGGATTGGCTGGGATGCGAAATCTGTTGGGAAATATAGGATGGGCTAAGGGGAACAGAGCCTGAAGAGGGGAAAATATAAAAAAATCTTCTATGGGAAGGTTTGAAACATAAAACTGCTCAAACTGAGTCCCCCAGTTAATACATAGAATGGAATTCTGTGAGTTGGCAGAGAAGTGTTTCTGAGAAAAGGTACATAGCAAAATGTATTCTCAACTTACGACAGGAGGAATGGAAGGAAAACATGAGTGTACCACTTGATAGAAAACAAGGCTTGTGGGAAGAATTCAAAGAAGGTCACTGAAAGGGAAACAGTATATGTTCTCTCAAAAAAGATATAAATGCCCATAGAGGGTAGAAATAACAGCCAGTTTTACTCCCTGTGGGATAATGGCTTTATTGGAGAATATCAGTATTATTAGAGAAGATTACATGGGCAATGCTAATTAGATGATTCAGAAGTGAGTAGCCAAATGAACCATTGTCCCAAAGCAAGAGGACAGAAACCAGGTTTCTCTGCAGAATATAGCACAATGTGATTTTGAAAAGGTAAGGGACAGAGTTTTGTTTCTGTGTTGCTGGAAAATAATAGAGAAAGATACAGTTATTTATACTGATGGAGCTTCCAAGATGCAAACAAAAATATCACCATAAATAATATATGCTGAGTGTTAAAACTGTAGCAATTTCTAGAACTGCTAGTATGGAAAACCCACATCAGGTCAGGTGAAATGGACATGTGACTTTACACCCCAAACCAAACCAACCCAAAAAGTCTTCTGCTGCACCCACAGATGTATCACAATCTACTGTGGTGCACCCACAGATGTATCACAATTTACTGTGGTGCATTGAGAGAAATATAAAGATATATTACATCCTGTAGCACTCATTTAATAAAAAGCATCTCTTGCTGTATCCAGTAAAGAAGAAACATGGCAATTGTGCAATCTCCTGAGAAACTGCTGTCTTGCTTGTAAGGGAAGCCTTCTATTATAGAGGCACTTCCAAAATAAGAAGGCACTGTGAAGAAAAAGAGTTCAAAATATATGAGGGTAAATTTGTTCTTGTCAAAAATATGGCATGTAAGTAGAAACATGACAAGCAAAAGTCCTGATGCTTCTGACTGTCCAGGAACATCCCCTTAGGCACAGACACAGCACTGGGTCATATCTGGAGGGAATCCCTTTCGGATTCCTGGTGGGAGTGATGGATGCTAGAGGAGCTGGCAATATGTTTGCCTTCACCCTGTGTGTCCTGTGTTAAGGCCATGTCCCAGGAGAAGGATGAAGGGCACAACTGCTCACATTCCATGGTCTGGCTGTGCCATGTCTGGGCTTCACTGAGCCTTGGGCTGCGAGAGGGGCAAGAGGCTAACTTGGAGAGAGCTGGGCACAGTGGGAAAAAGATCAAGATGGGAAGGCAGGAGACTTCAGAGATGGTCAGGGGATAATATTATGCTAGCCAGCCTCAGAAGTGAAGACATCATGTCTTGTACATCCACAGAAATAATTTCTTGGGCTGCTAAGATCAGACAGTCTGAAAGTAATTGAAGTACAAAGGAAAGTCTGAGGAAAAACTCCTACCCTTTATAGGCACAGTAGCTGTAAGATTTTTGGTTTTGAGCTGTATTCTGTTTCCCCCTGAGAGAAATAAGCTTTCTCTACGTGCAGTTACATGCTGTAGTTGGCTATTTTTGTGTTCAATAAAAATCTTACTGCAGCACTTGCAAGCAGGGGTTGCCTCAAAGACGCAGCAGGCAGGGAATGACACCCTTCCACAGCAAATGCATGGCTGAGGGTCAGCCCTTCCCTCTGCTGCTGGACTTGGAGTTTGCAAATGCTAGCTTGGAAACCAACAGGGTTTGTTACTTTGGTTATTGTTGCAGAGTTCAAGTGTCACTTTATGTCTTTGTTTTGGGAAGCCAAAACTTTACGAAATGGTGGCATGAAGGTTATGTGTGTGTGGTTGCAGAAAATGGAATAGTTTAATGTACATATAATTTCCAGCTAGGATCTCAGCAAAAAGTCAAAACCTGGCAAGAGAAATGAAGACCTTGAATTCACTGATAACCTTTCTAATATTTGATGTCTAATTTATTTTGTGAATCAAGATCATTAGACTCCTCAAAGTTGTCCAAGATGCGCTTCTTGTCAGACAAATGATCCTGTTGCTCCTAATTGTTAGCAGGCAGATGGCAGGTGATCAAGATTTCATTATCAAAACACCAGTTTTCTTTTGAGGTGAATAGATGACCATCTGTTCCTAACATTGTACCTAAGGGAACCTACAACTCTGGCTTGGATGATTCCAAAATATAATAAGAACCTTCTCTTTATTAATATACATATGACAGGGGTAGGATACAAACCATGAAAAGGCTGCTGAATTTTTAATTTATAAGAGTGCTATATATTTCAGTTGTGAATTTTGAAACCTTTCATTACTTTGGAGGAAACTTCAATTTCCTTGTCACAAAGTTCTGTCTGATAATGAAATGAGCGCATTTAATTTAAGTACCTGAAGTACAAATTTCTGCAGCTTACAGGTGTGTGGTAGAGTTTGGTCTTTGGAAGTTTGGGAAATGAAATGCATTTCGTATTTTATTTATTTTTTAAATAGATGAAGAATATGCAATTAAATCCACCTGTGATAATTATGCCTTTTAAAACAAACTGTCAGTAAGTCTAACTAGAGAGGAAAAAAAGTCTGTGGTATTGCTTCCCATGAGTTTTGTGACCTTCAGCAGAGGTGCAGAGGAAACGAGCATTCCCTCTGCTGACCAGACAAGCAACTCTCAGCCATTATAAATTCTGTTAAGCAGCAGCTACTTAGATAATCAATATGCATATGCAAATGGATCATAATTTTGGCATCTCTTGAATGGCAGAAGTGACACTGGGAGCATGGCAGGGAGTTGCAGTTAAGGAATTAAGACAGAAAACCTCTGTAGAAACTCCATTACCTTCTATTCTCTCATACTAATGAAGTTACAAGGAAATAATGCTGAACAGAAGAAAATGGAGAGAAATTTCAATAGCGTTTGTATTTTTAAATTGAAAATATTATTGGAGTAATTAAAAGTTGTGTTTGGTTTCCCTTATCTAAT